AACTTAATTAACATAGCACATTGTACGCCGACAAGTAGAGACAACCAATATGGTGCAAGTAAACTTGAAATTGCTGTAACGTTATATCCACGACTGGACTTTATAAAGTATACAAGAGATACACAGCCTTACAAAGGAAACGAGTATCTGAAGTAATGCTCCTGAGAGGTCAGAGATGTCAAAGACAGAGTAATGGAAGAAATCCAGAAGTGAGATACGATGTCAGGGTGGCAAGCAAGGCAAGGTGGGAGGGAAGAGGAAGATAAGATCAATGCACTAAGTAAAATAGTTAAGTCTGGGTGTGAATGATGAGGCTGGCAAGAACAATGTTGCCCAAATACATCATTCATTCTTCAAAATAAGATTTGTTGGGATTGTTAACCCGGAGGCTTAGTCACCCGGGATAACCCAAGAAAGTGAGTCTTCGAGGACCGTCTTATTTCCATTGGGGTTCTTCAATCTTCCCTAGGATGTGACTCGCACCAGCTTACTAACACCCAGGTACCTAACTGCTAGGTGAACAAGGACAGCAGGCATAAAGAAATATGCCCAACGTTTCCACCCGGCGGGGAATTGAACCAAAGATACTATGAGGCGAGAGCGTTGCCTAGTAAACTAACACGATGCAGATAATTCCTCTTTCCCTACTCTTATAAGTTCTTCCAGGCGAGAGATTTATGTTGAAGTGAGGTTTTTTTAAAAACAATCTCAGCACTGCACGTTTCTTCATTTTGAACAGTCCAGTAAATGAATCTGCTCTCTCGTCATCAAGACAGAGCATCAGAGGTTGTTGAAGATGAGAGACAGAATACCATCACATGAGAATGCAATGTCCCGGAAAGAAAACTATATTCCATGGACATCACTAAGTAGGGCAGCATCAGGTATAAGAAAACAGCAACAGAAGCTAATAACTGGCAGAGCTTTCTTGATCGCATCCTAAACGTTACCATTTTCAAGTGGGGCTAGACTCTGGTTGGTGTCCCCTCAAGGAAGGTTCCTTGATGTTGGTGAGGGGCTCTTGATTTAGGGAATTGGATCTGTGCTCCAGTTCCCCGAATTAAGCCTGAATGCCTTCCACATCCCCCCCCAGGCGCTGTATAATCCTCCGGGTTTAGCGCTTCCCCCTTGATTATAATAATAATCTGGTTGGTGTATGACACTTGTAGGTTTAGCGCTTCATTTTTGGTTATAATAATACTCTGGTTATACTAATACCTTTGGTATTTTTGCATATACAGATATACCTTTGAACAGTTTCGAGAGGCCTGGTCACAGACCGGGCCGCGGGGGAGTTGACCCCCGGAACTCTCTCCAGGTAAACTCTGAGCCCTGCCATGGGCCAGGCTCCTCTGGTGCTTGCCTGGTCAACCAGGCGGCTGCTGCTGCTGCGGCTGCTGCTCCTCCTCCTCCTGCTGCTGCTCCTCCTCCTGCTGCTCCTGCTCCTCCTCCTCCTCCTCCTCCTCCTCCTGCTCCTGCTCCTGCTCCTGCTCTCCATCACAGCCTGGTTGATGTGGCACCTGGTGAATATACTTGTCCAGACTTCCTGGTCACAACTGAGCTCCTCAGCAAATATACCCCAATTTTATCCACGCATGCTAAACTCATAAGAGACTCACAAGAACCAAAATAATACATATTTCCAGTCTTTTCACACTGATAAAAAAAAAAAAGGTTCTTAACGTGTTTCATTTGCACAAGCATTTCCTGATGAAATTTGTGCAGATTATTTTTCAGTTTGTATTGATGCCACTCCCGAATGTTCTAAGAATGAATGGATTACTATGGTTGTTCAGTGTATTGAGGGTAATTACAGGGTATAGAAAGTTCTATATTTTCAGTTGGAAAGCAAGAATTAATTTTATAAATTGACGACAAACTGGAAAAGGCATTGCTACGCGAATACTAACAGTATAAGATCATGTTTATAACAATTGGTCACGTTTATGACCTTGACTCGAATATGGTTGAAAAGTATAAAAGTGTACACGAGTATAATTAGGTTATGAAGGGGAACCTTGAAATGGTTCCCTGAATTTTCTTCCAACTTTTCGTGTTTTATTTCATAACACTAGAAAGATTCATCCGATAATCTTCAAATTCTCAACAACTGGTAAACAGGAACTAGACCAGATTTTTAGGGACAATTGGCACGTGGGGGGTGTTCTATAACCCAAGTTATTGCTCCCAATCCCACTATCCTGAAATGGCTCCAACAACTTCCCAAACCCTCTGATGTGTAGCTTCAAACGATCAATAAACTGATAACCCTTTAATGACCTCGGGGTGAAAGTGGACGAGCAAATCTAACAATTTTGTTGAAAATGATGATTAATTCTTAATCCCTCATATTAAGTACATTTGAACCTAATTTTTCTGAATGGCTTCAGTATTTAATAACTGATGAATCTTAAGGGCATAGTCCCCTCAAGGAAGGTTCCTTGATGTTGGTGAGGGGCTCTTGATTTAGGGAATTGGATCTGTGCTCCAGTTCCCCAAATTAAGCCTGAATGCCTTCCACATTCCCCCCCCCCAGGCGCTGTATAATCCTCCGGGTTTAGCGCTTCCCCCTTGATTATAATAATAATTAAGGGCATAATACTTTATTCTGTGTGGGCAAATTGGTCATAGTGCTGAAATAGTTTATAAAACTCGAAATTGTTGAAATTCATGTGAACCTTCGACTGCTGTACGACTATTACTAAGTGAACCTTCATAGGATAGTTGAGGATGTGCCCTCTGTACAGTTTTGCATAGACCATTCCGAAATTTTTCCTGAGATAACGTATTGAAAGAATGTCTTTTTTTATCTGCTAAAATATATCAAGGCTTGTGTAGCATTCTACTGAGAAGAAAGTCTGTATTAAGTTTATTTAGGTACAGGTACACACAGTTATATAAATTATCATCCATAGTAACGTGTAAATTACATAGGATAACCCAAAAAAGTCAGTGACTTGTTTCCACTGGAGTCCTTGTACTAATTACTGTTGTCAGTAGTGAAGATGCAATTTTGCTACTAATTAATCTCGATGTGGTATGGTATTTTGCATGACTGCGTAATTTTGCCCTGATGCTGGTGAAGGGATCTTGATCCCAGGGAACTGGAGTTATCTCGCCTTAACATGGATCTGAATGTCTCCCCATTCCCAGCTGCTATCGACCCCCCTACGGGTTTTGCGCTTTTCCCTGGCTAAAATAAAAAAAACTTCTGAGCGACATCAATCTCTAATATGATTCATTTTGTGACGGATGAAACTTAACTTTTCTTTTAATGGAGGGGGAGGGGGAGGGGAGGGGAGGGGAGGGGGAGGGGAGAGGGGAGAGGGGAGGGGAGAGGGAGGGGAGGGGAGGGGGAGGGGGAGAGGGTGAGGGGAGAGGGGAGGGGGAGGGGAGAGGGGAAGGGGAGAGGGGAGGAGGGGAGGGGGAGAGGGGAGGGGGAGGCAATGTAGGTGCACATTTCTGAGCCTTTAGGTCTAGCTTTTGAGCCTTCACATTAACTTATGAACCGTGCTATTCTTTATACAGTACCTGCCCAAAGCAGTCTCTCTCTCTCTCTCTCTCCTCTCTCTCTTCTGTCTGTGCATCTCTTCCAATTTTCCTATACGTTGTACGAATCTCTCTTTTTTATCTCTCAATTTCAGTCTCTGTCTTCTCTCTGAGTCTCTCATTTCTTTGGTACAGGTACACTCAGTTATTATTCATCTCTAGTACGTGTCATCTCATTGGTACCAACAAGTCCATGCTTGTCTCCTCTGGTCTCTCTCTCTAATTACTGTTCTCAGTACTCATTCTTATCTCAATCTCTCTCTCTGGTATTCTTTCTCTCGTAATTTTCCTCTGCTCTTGTAAGGTCTTGTCCTCGGGAACTGGTCATCGCTCTCTTGGTCTGATCTTCTCTCCCTTCCTCATCTCTATCTCCTCCCCTCGGTTTCTCCTCTTTCCTGGCTCAAATAAACTTTCTGCACTGTCTCTCTCTTATTCTTCTTTTTCTCGGACTAAACTTACTTCTCTTGTATGCTCTCGGGTCGGGGGCTCGTCCATCTGCGAGGTGCTCTGTCTCGTCGTCTCGTGGTTCCATGGCTCTCTGCTCTGTCTGGCTCGAGGGGCGCGGGGGGTCTGGCTGGGCTCGGGGTGGGGGTTTGCTGTGGTGGCTCAGGTGGCTCGCGTCGTCCTGGGTCGTGCTCTCTGTCTCTCCTCTCTGTCCTCTCAGTCTCTTTTGTCCTTTCACATCTCTGTCTCCGCTCTCTCTTTCTCAGTCCTGTCCTCTACACTCTGTCTCTCTCTCTCTTCTCTCTCTCTCTCTGTCTCTCTCTCTCTGTCTGTCTCTCTGTCTGTCTCTCTGTCTGTCTCTCTGTTGTCTCTCTCTCTGTCTGTCTCTCTCTCTCTCTTTTCTCTCCTCTGTCTCTTCTTCTCTCTCTTTTCTCTCTCTCTCTCTTCTCTCTCTCTCTCTCTCCTCTCCTCTCTCTCCTCTTTTCTCTCTCCCCCTTCCACAAAACCAGTAGTGTGTGCCTTGCTAGAGCTCATTGCTAGTGACTGTATTTATATCTCCACAAGGCAGGTGAATCTGGACCGTGTGTGATGCTGTAATGTCTGAAATTTTCTCGTAATCCATATTTCAGAATTATTTGTGTTCACAAGTGCAGTAGATGCTATTTTCTTACTGTCGTTTTGTATTAATTACTATCAAACAAAAACAAAACGTTTTTGTTAATTGTTTAGTGTTGTAAACTCTTGTCATCTCCCGTATATATTTAACTGTACATTCTTTACTCTAAATTTGTTCCTTTGTTCATTTCAAATGCACAGAGGATTCTTTAATCATCATTTATTTCAATGTTAAAAATGTTGTATGATGCAAGGGGCAAGGCAGACCTGAGGGAAAAAGTCAAGGGTCTCTGCCCCCTCGCCCCACATTATTCAATCATTGTATTTCCCTTTAATTTCAAAGTTCAGAAGCACAACTCTTGTATAACCCTAATTCACTTTTTTTTTTACAGTGCAGAGCAGTAGTCCACGACCTTCTAGAAGGGCCACATGTGGCCCTCGGGCTGCAAGTTGAGGATCCCTGGTGTAGAGAATTGCAAAGAGGGAAAAAGTGTTTATCATCCTCCATGCAACAGCTTTCATGCCAGAAGTGCCTGAGCAACAGTCACCATCCCTACCCACCCGTCCTTCAGAATGCCGGCACAGTACCTCCTACTCCAACACTTAAGTCCAGGTAACTGTACAGTGAGTTATGTAAAGATTACTCCCTTAATAGCGGGAATTCACCGTATGTCTCTTAAATCAGACAATGTTAAAAAAAATAACAGAAAAAACACTATACTCAGTGCCTAATATGTAATGTGTAGTACAGTACACACAATACATATTGAGGTATACTGCAATAATTTTAAAATAAATGCAAACTAAATTTACCAGTGAATTTTGTCCTTTGTCAGTAGGCCATTATATCAGTCCTTTATAACGAGGATTCACAGTTTACCTTAGTGATAGCCTATATACAATATTTCAATTTGTTTTTTATCCATTCTTTGTCAGTGCTAATGCCCCCTTGACAATTTTTTAACATAAATAAGATAAAAGAGTGATAGGTAGACCTCTGGCTGTACATGTTTTCATAGGAGCGACATATATCAGATCATTCAGTGGCAGCTATAGAAAGAGGTAGATGGAGCACAAGAAGAATGGCATCACTGGGTAAGAGAGGTGAAAGAACTAAAGACAGCTGGGGTGAGATATAAACAACTATTGGGAGGAAGGTGAGCTAATGAGATCAAAGAGGTATTGGGTAGATTTAAGAATGCAGGGCTAGAGAGTGCAGCAGAGGTTTGTTGTTACAGAAAGATGGGAAGAGAAATGTATGGTGGAATGATGAAGAAAAAAAAAAGAGGGAGAAAAGGGAGAAAGTTAGCATATGAAGGGTTTCTAAAATTTAGAAATGATATACAGAACAGTACAGTATTATTCTTTTAACATACTGGCCATTTCCCACCAAGGTAGGGTGACCTGAAAAATTAGAAACACTTTCACCATCACTCACTCCATCACCGTTTTGCCAAAACACATCGACATTACAGCTCAGGCTGCCCCTCCAAACTGCAGTATTTCCATCCCTCCTTCACATTTGGATTCACAGTACTCCCCGCTGTACTTGGTCGATCTGACATAAAGGCATGTACATGCAACCTTGTATGATGGATTTGAGAAAGACGTACCAGGCATGGGCTAGTATGCCTGCTGCAGTACTCCTCAGTTTCCTTTTTCTTACTTGCACTACTGGATCTTGTTTTCTGCATTTGCCATTCCCATTTACACACCTCACATCTGGCTCCGGTGTGTAAGTCTCCATCCATATGTCTCTTAAGATTATTCAAGGCTCACGGGCTAAACACCTCAAAAATACCTCTTTACTTCTTTCAGGTCTGAGGACTGAACACCTCAAATTACCTCACTTATTCAAGTCTCCAGTAATTTAGTTACTTGTGTATTTAATTGAAAAAAAGAAAAGCCTGCTGTGCAGGCAAAACATTTCAGCAGTAAAGTTACCTAACTGCTGCACATGTTTCATTCATAAGGCAGAGAATATGAAAAAATGAGAGGTTAAAAGAGTTGAGTGCAAATGGAGAGCCAATCAGAGAATGGGTGACTTTTCTATTATTAATTTATTAACACATCAGCTGTTTCCCACCAAGGTAGGGTGGCCCGAAAAAGAAAAACTTTCGCCATCATTCACTCCATCACTGTCTTGCCAGAGGAGCACTTACACTGCAGTTATAATTCTGCAACATTAACACCCCTCCTTAAGAGTGCAGGCACTGACTTTATTGGCACATTTTACTGAGAATAATAAATAATTTGGGAAAGATTAAAAAGTTAAGAGCACGAGAAGCCAATGGACAGGATGTTTAAAATTAGAGAACATAAAAGAGATGTTAGATAAATAGGTAGAGGTAATAGATGGATGAAAAGAATATTTTAAAGTTATATGTTGCTCATGAAAAAACAAAGGCAGTGATTTTATGCTTAAGGATTGGCAGAGAGCAGGAATAGTTCTTTGTACAAGGCAAAAAGGATGAGGGAGAATGTAAGAATATGAGAGTAAGTTTGCTGAGTATATCAGGTCAAAGTAAAATGCAGAGGAACAAGGAGGATTTAGGAAGGATAGGGAATGTGTAGATAAAGTGTTTACACTGAAGCACAGAAGTGAACAGTAATGTAATAAGATAAAGGAGAGGAACTGTTTGTCACATTCAAGGATTTAGGAAAGGCATATTATAGGGTGGCTGGAGCAATATAGCACATATAGGGAATTGGAAGTAAGGTCACTAAAATCAGTAAGTTTTTTTGTAAAGAGAATGACTCTGTTTAGGGTTAGTAGGAGATAGGGATATTATTTTCCAGTATAATTAGCCCTTAGACAGGGATGTGTGATGTCACAATGGCTATTCAATATATTTTGGGATAGCACTGTAAAAATAGTGAATGCTAGGGTGTTTGGGAGAGGCATTGGATTAAACAATAATGAAGTTAATACAAAGTGGGAGTTGTCGTGATTGCTCATTGTTGAAGTTTTTCTTTTTTCCTTCAGAAATTTTGAAGAGTAGTTGCAAAGGTAAGTGAATGATTTGAGGAGTGTGTGTAAAAGAATTAAGTTAAAAATGAACAAAGAAAAGAGCAAGGTGCTGAGAGTAACAAAATCTCAGATTGAGAAATTAGACATCAAATTGAAAAAAAGAGAGCACGGCAGAAGTGACTGCATTTAGAAGTGCCAGCATATGATCCTATGAAAGAAGTGATGAACCATGGCACAGATTAGAGGGACAAGTGCAGGCGTGTTGGGGCATTTATGGAAAGAAAGAGATTTATCTATGGAAGCAAAAAAAGGAATGTATTTTTAAATGGGTGTAAGGCAAGGAGACTAGATGCAGTAGAGATGTCAAGTGTGAATTTTATGCAAGGAATTCAACGCATAGAAATCAGAAGACAATGTGAGGATGCCAAAGGCACAATTCAGAGGTGAGAGGTGCAACCTTTCTATAAATTAATTTTTTTCATTTGTGTATCTACTGAAAAGAACCTGAGTTTCTATGTGGGTTATTATTGAACAAAGACAAGTATTCACTACACTTTCCTTATCACTGGGTGCAATATTTAGTTTAAATGCAGCAACATTCACAAGGTGTTATTCTTGCCAGGCAGTACACTGTATGAGCCATAAGGGTTTAGCACTTATTTTTTTACAATACAGTAATAACACTGTTGCATGCTAGGCAGTATTAACTCTTGCCTGGCATGCAAATACTCATTACTAAAGTAGCTAATTATGTGAAGGCTTCAGTGCTGCATGACCCTTGTCAGTTTAGTGCTTTGTTTGATTATAATATGTGAAGGCTTCATGAACACCTTAGTTATCTTGTATTTCTAACAACCTCAAAGAAATTCGCCTCTTTTCTGGCTCCCTGGACATAATGATGTTCAGACCAGTCAAAATGTATATTCTTCCTTCAGTCCACTATTCACAACCTACCAATTTCCCCACAGGCATACGTTCTCAACTGCAAAACTGCTGGTAACAACCTTAGTCCAAGTTAAGAGCACAGCTGATTAATTTCCGTCAACCTACAGCTAAGTTCATGGTCAAACCTTCAATGAGTTACGAGAGTAACCTGGTCTTGGACCAGGCTTGGCTGGTATCTGGTGCTTCTCTCCATCACTGCCAGGTATGGAAAACTACACACTCATGAATATGAAGACACGCATGACTACTACATGGAAAGGCCTAGCACCTCTGTGAGGACTGCTAGGTTGAGCTATCTCTTCCCTGTGTCCTTTCAGAGATCACACAGAATTTTTCAAGATAAGCAACACCTTGATGAGCTCACTAACTGATTTTGCTGACTCTCAATTTTAATAGAGACTTGCTTTTTTACAACTGACTTGCTGCACTAACTTAAACATTGATTTTGCACCCATAGTAACCTCTTCTCTCCGCTTGCTTCAATGAATGATGTATGCCCCATGTAAGTTTAGTGCACTTTAAATATACGTATACATAACAGAAATGTTAAAAGCAGGGGGGGATATAGTGTTGGAGTGGATGGTATTTTTGTTTAATAAATGTATGAAAGAGGGGAAGGTACCTAGGGATTGGTGGAGAACATGTATAGTCCCTTTATATTAACCCTTTCAGGGTCCCCAGGCCCTCTCCCAGACTTGGTCTCAAGGTCACCCAAATTTCAAAAAAAAAAATTATTTTTTCTTATGAAAAGATAGAGAATATTTTCCCGACCATAATGACACCAAAAGTATGAAATTTGATGGAAAACTTACAGAATTATGCTCTCGCGAAGTTAGCGGTCTTAACGATGTTTACGCATCGGCGATTTTGCCCACTTTGAGCCCTATTTTCAACCAATTCCAGTGTACTAGTCGACATAAATCATAACCATTTCGCTAGAACTCCATTTTTTCTATCAAATGAGTACAAGAAACCACCCATTTACCGATTTCAGCTATTCAATACAGTGGTCAGAATTTAGCAATTTTGCCAATTTCACACAAATTTCAAAAGATGCCAATTTCCAAATAGGGTCCAGAATAAACAAGAAAGACATTCCTGGCACTAAAATAACATTTCCTCTGTTCATTAGTCATGTCCCCATGCCCCTCTTACATTCTTTTGCCTTCCACTTTGAATTTTTATTCTCACAAAAAATAGAAGATTTACTGTTATGCAGACTACTTCATTAGTATAGAAATGGTATAAATAATATCAGCGCACTTGTGTAAGAATATTAGACTCGCCAGTTGACGTGTATTGGACACTTAGCATGATTTGTTTACTTTTTAACTTTGGTAAAAATCGAACATTTCTGCTACTTTGAGCTCAATTTCAAGGTACTTTTCATTGTAAAACCAGTCAAAATCATCTCGATTTCTGTAATATGTTTTCCATTCTATAAAATGAGACCAGGAAAACTAGAATACAACAATAAATACCATACGAAAATACATTGCAAAGTCGCTGTTTTAATCCAAAAACACTGTCATAGCTTTTTTTTTTCTCATTACGCACTGTGTGCTGCAAGATTTTTTTTTATACTGCACCCATTGACCACATTTACCCATTCTTTCATATGTAGGCCTACCAGCTTTCTCTCACTAGATTTGAGGGCGCTAGAATTTAGGCGTACTAGTACGTCAAAAACCCTGGTGCGTAAGCTGTACTAGTACGTCCGAAACCCTGAAAGGGTTAAGGGAAGGGGGACAAAAGAGATTGTAAAAATTATAGAGGAATACGTTTACTGAGTATACCAGGAAAAGCGCATGGTAGGGTTATTGAAAGAATTAGAGGGAAGACAGAATGTAGGATTGCAGATGAGCAAGGAAGTTTTAGAGTGGGTAGGGGATGTGTAGATCAAGTGTTTACATTGAAGCATATATGTGAACAGTATTTAGATAAAGGTAGGGAAGTTTTTATTGCATTAATGGATTTAGAAAAGGCATATGACAGAGTGGATAGGGGAGCAATGTGGCAGATGTTGCAAGTATATGGAATAGGTATTAAGTTACTAAATGCTATAAAGAGTCTTTATGGATAGTGAGGCTCAGGTTAGGGTGTGTAAAAGAGAGGGAGACTACTTCCCGGTAAAATTAGGTCTTAGACAGGGATGTGTACTGTCACCATGGTTGTTTAATATATTTATAGATGGGGTTGTAAAAGAAGTAAATGCTAGGGTGTTCAGGAGAGGGGTAGGATTAAATTATGGGGAATTAAATACAAAATGGAAATTGACACAGTTACTTTTTGCTGATGATACTGTGCTTATGGGAGATTCTAAAGAAAAATTGCAAAGGTTAATGGACGAGTTTGGGAGTGTGTGTAAAGGTAGAAAGTTGAAAGTGAATATAGAAAAAGTAAGATGAGGGTATCAAATGATTTAGATAAAGAAAAATTGGGTATCAAATTGGGGAGGAGGAGTATGGAAGAAGTGAAGGTTTTCAGATATTTGGGAGTTGACGTGTCAGCGGATGGATTTATGAAGGATGAGGTTAATCATAGAATTGATGAAGAGGAAAAAAAAAAAAAAAAAAAGGCGAGTGGTGCGTTGAGGTATATGTGGAGACAAAAAAACGTTATCTTTGGAGGCTCTTTTTGATTATAATAATAATAATAATATCTTTGGAGGCAAAGAAGGGAATGTATGAAAGTATAGTAGTACCAACACTCTTATATGGGTGTGAAGCTTGGGTAAATGCTGCAGTGAGGAGGCAGCTGGAGGCAGTGGAGATGTCCTGTCTAAGGGCAATGTGTGGTGTAAATATTATGCGGAAAATTCAGTGTGAAAATTAGGAGAAGGTGTGAAGTTAATAAAAGTATTAGTCAGAGAGCTGAAGAGGGGTTGTTGAAGTGGTTTGGTCATTTAGAGAGAGTGGATCAAAGTAGAATGACATGGAGAGCGTATAAATCTGTAGGGGAAGGAAGGCTGGGTAGGGGTCGTCCTCGAAAAGGTTGGAGGGAGGGGGTAAAGGAGGTTTTGTGGGCGAGGGGCTTGGACTTCCAGCAAGCGTGCGTGAGCGTGTTAGATAGGAGTGAATGGTATTTGGGACCTGACGAGCTGTTGGAGTGTGAACAGGGTAATATTTAGTGAAGGGATTCAGGGAAACCGGTTATTTGTACATAGCTGGTCTTAGAGTCCTGGAAAGGGGAAGTACAATGCCTGCACTTTAAAGGAGGGGTTTGGGATATTGGCAGTTTGGAGGGATATGTTATGTATCTTTATTACGTATTTGTTTCTAAACTGTTGTATTCCGAGCACCTCTGCAAAAAGTGATTGTGTGAGTGAGGTGAAAGTATTGAATGATGAAAGTATTTTCTTTTTGGGTCACCCTGCCTCAGTGAGAGATGGCCGACTTGCTAAAAAAACAAAGAAAAAAAGCTGTGTATAAGTATATACCAAATATACATACAATCCCCAATTCAATTTCATGGAAGTCCATCCCCTCAGGGGTCATAAAGCACCTGAGGGGATGGAAGGTATTTAGGGTCAATTCAAGGAATTGGAGCATAGGTCTGATTCCTTAGATCAAATTTTACTATTTGATTACTTTCACTGTAAAATTAAGACAATAATCAAAATAATATATTTTATTACATACACTTATACAATATTTTCATAGCAGGTTAACAAGGTCTGCAATATTGACCAAAATAATGTATTTAAAATTGCAGCTCATTGATATTTACACTAATATCCTGAAATATACTGTTACTGTAAATAGATATTTTTCTTTATATAAAGCAGCCTTGACAAAAGCGTTTATATAATACACAGACATTAAATTTCCTTGCACTGGAAGCTTGACATAAACCATTAATGAGTCAAACACGACATTTTCACTTGTCTAAATACGTAACAGGAGCCATTCTAAATATGGGCACAAAACTTAAGACATATCACAATTGCACAGGGTTTGTAAAAAGTATTAGAAAATGAGTTAGGTAAATAAGTTATAAGAAATAAAAGTTCTACAGAAGATTGGTTAAAGCTTCATCTCCCAAACGACAATATGTGCATCTTTGTCATTGGAATAAGGAGGTTGGACGTCCTGGAACTGCCTCAAGTTGATGTAGCCTCGTCCACCCATCAGTGTCATAAGTGTGCGTGACTGATCATTTTCTTTGCGGCGTCCAGAAATGGTGGACCTATTTGTTGTGCCACCACTTGTTGTCGAGTGAGACACGGTGTCGTGTGCTGCTGTGGAGACATTATTCAATGCGATAACACTATTCATAACTCCACTGCCATCTTCTGATCCTGAGGATGTGGTACAGGCTGAGGAGGCCCTGGAATCCATGGACCAGGTTGATAGATCCAAGGAGCGAGGACGTGAGGCTTTCAGTCTAACGCGCCGATCAAGAGTACTAACTTGAGAGGGAACAGCCAATTCTGGATCACTGCGGCGCATAGAATCATATCGGGAAAGCAAAAATCCTTCTCCTATTATCATTGGCTCATCTTCGTACTCGTGAACGTTTAACAGATCGCCATAGAGACCATATACATCACACTCCTGACTACCTGCTAGAGTTCCTAGCCCTAAACCACGTGGTAGTGTCTTGGAGAGACGCCGCACGTGTTGCTGGGTGTCTCTTGGTTTACGTCTCAGTATTACAGGAGAACTCAGCTGTTGCCGCAGGCGAGGTGGTACACGTTTTGGTGGTACAAGACTGCCATCGCTTTGTTGCTTTTCAAGTCGTGACGCAGGTGTTGGTGTAATTATAAAGCTTCTGATGTCATCAGAACCATGAGATCGGGAGCCATCTTGTTGAGGATGACTGAGGTTATCTTGTAAAGATTGACGAGAGCCAGGCCGTAGCTCGGGAAGAGTAGCCTGTGGTCTGGCATGAGGTTGTAGTGCAAGAAGGAATGTTATTGGTCCATTATGAGCATGATAGCTAATATTTGCACGTCCACTAATTATTGGTACACCCTCTAAGCGAGGCAATGGAATAGTAAGAGCAACGCCTACATTTGTCCCCACCCAGAGGAGTCCTCTTGAGGCTAACAAAGCTGTCACATTTATACTGGAAACAGCAATCCCTCTTTCACCCAACACACGATTAACATTTGAAGCAACATTGATATCTTGAAGGTGTCGGAAAGTTTCTGTGTGATATAAACATATGGTTGAGGTGTTCTGCTGGGCAATCCAGAGTCCAATGCCAGAATGTGCCATCAGTTGTACACCACCAGCACCTTCGTGATGTACAGAGAACTTCTTCTGTGGAGAAATAAACTGCACTGAAGTAACAAAGAATAATAATCTAGCTAGGATTTGTACATTAGTAATATAAACAGATATTTTATAAATGGCACTTTTTTTTAACATGTTGGCTGCTTCCCACCAAGGCAGGGTGACCCAAAAGAAAGAAAAAAAAAAACTTTCATTATCATTCAGCACTTTCACCATCACTCATATGTAATCACTGAATCGCAGAGGCGCCCAGATACGACAGTTTAATCACTCCAAACTTCCAATATCCCAAACCCCTCCTTTAAAGTGCAGGCACTGTACTTCCCATTTCCCGGACTCAAGTCCGTCTAGCCGGTTTCCTTAAATCCCTTCACAAAGTATTACCCTGCTTACACTTCAACAGCTCGTCAGATCCCAAAAACCATGCGTCTCCATTCACTTCTATCTAGCACGTTTGCTGGAAACCCAAGCCCCTCACCCACAAAACCTCCTTTACCACCTCCCTCCAACCTTTTTGAGGACGACCCCTACCCTGCCTTCCTTCCCCTACAGATTTATATGCTCTCCAAGTCATTCTACTTTGTTCCATTCTCTCTAAATGACCAAACCACCTCAACACCCCCTCTTCAGTCCTAATTCTTTTAGTAACTGCACACCTCCTCTTAATTTCTACAATAAGACTTCTCTGCATAATATTTACACCACACACTGCCCTTAGACAGGACATCTCCACTGCCTCCAGGCAGTTCCTCCCCCATACGAGTGTTGGTGCCACTATACTTTGTACATTCCCTTCTTTGCCTCCATGGATAACGTTTTTTGTCTCCACAGATACCTCAATGCGCCATTCACCTTTTTTCAATTCTAAGGTTAACCTCATTCTTCATAAACCCATCTGCTGACAAGTCAACTCCCAAATATCTAAAAACATTCACTTCTTCCATACTCCCTCTCTCCAATGTGATATCCAATTTTTCTTTATCTAAATCGTTTGATACACTCATCACCTTACTCTCATCTATGTTCACTTTCAACTTTCTACCTTTACACACCCTCCCAAACTCATCCACTAACATTTGTAATTTTTCTTCAGAATCTCCAAAAAGCACAATATCAGCAAAAAGTAACTGTGTCAATTCCCATTTAGTATTTGATTCACCCCTCTCCCAAACGCCCTAGCATTTACTTCTTTTACAGCCCCATCTATAAATATATTAAACAACCATGGTGACATTACACATCCCTGTCTAAGACCTACTTTTACTGGGAAGTAATCTCCCTCTCTTCTACACACCCTAACCTGAGCCTCACTATCCCCATAAAAACTCTATACAGCATTTAGTAACTTAATACCTATTCCATACACTTGCAATGTCTGCCACATTGCTCCCCTATCCACTCTGTCATATGCCTTTTCTAAATCCATAAATGCTATGAAAGCTTCCCCACCTTTATCTAAATACTGTTCACATATATGCTTCAATGTAAACACTTGATCTACACACTCTAAAGCCTCCTTGCTCATCTGCAATCCTGTTCTGTCTTGCCTCTAATTCTTTCAATAATAAACTTACTGTATACTTTACCTGATATACTCAGTAAACTTATTCCCCTATAATTTTTACAATCTCTTTTGTCCCCATTCCCTTTATATAAAGGAACTATACACACTGCCAATCCCTAGGTACCTTCCCTTCTTTCATACATTTTTTTTTTTTTTTCTTCTTCAACAAGTCGGCCGTCTCCCACCGAGGCAGGGTGACCCAAAAAAGAAAATACTTTCATCATCATTCAACACTTTCACCACACTCACACATTATCACTGCTTTTGCAGAGGTGCCCAGAATACAACAGTTTAGAAGCATATACGTATAAAGATACACAACATATCCCTCCAAACTGCCAATATCCCAAACCACTCCTTTAAAGTGCAGGCATTGTACTTCCCATTTCCAGGACTCAAGTCCGACTATATGAAAATAACCGGTTTCCCTGAATCCCTTCACTAAATATTACCCTGCTCACACTCCAACAGATCGTCAGGTCCCAAGTACCATTCGCTCCTATCTAACACGCTCACGCACGCTTGCTGGAAGTCCAAGCCCCTTACCCACAAAACCTCCTTTACCCCCTCTCTCCAACCCTTTCGAGGACGACCCCTACCCCTCCTTCCTTCCCCTATAGATTTATATGCTTTCCATGTCATTCTACTTTGATCCATTCTCTCTAAATGACCAAACCACCTCAACAACCCCTCTTCTGCCCCTGACTAATACTTTTATTAACTCCACACCTTCTCCTAATTTCCACACTCCAAATTTTCTGCATAATATTTACACCACACATTGCCCTTAAACAGGACATCTCCACTGCCTCCAACCGTCTCCTCGCTGCTGCATTTACCACCCAAGCTTCACACCATATAAGAGTGTTAGTACTACTATACTTTCATACATTCCCTTCTTTGCCTCCATAGATAACGTTTTTTGACTCCACATATACCTCAACGCCCACTCACCTTTTTTCCCTCATCAATTCTATGATTAACCTCATCCTTCATAAATCCATCCGCCGACACGTCAACTCCCAAGTATCTGAAAACATTCACTTCTTCCATACTCCTCCTCCCCAATTTGATATCCAATTTTTCTTTATCTAAATCATTTGACACCCTCATCACCTTACTCTTTCTATGTTCACTTTCAACTTTCTACCTTTACACACATTCCCAAACTCATCCACTAACCTTTGCAATTTTCTTTTAGAATCTCCCATAAGCACAGTATCATCAGCAAAAAAGTAACTGGTCAATTCCCATTTTGAATTTGATTCCCCATAATAATCCACCCCTCTCCCAAACACCCTAGCATTTACTTCCTTATAACCCCATCTATAAATATATAAACAACCATGGTGACATTACACATCCCTGTCTAAGACCTACTTTTAACCGGGAAGTATTCTCCCTCTCTTCTTTTCACACCTTAAACCTGACCCTCACTATCCTCATAACAATCTCTTTACAGTCATTTAATAACTTACCACCTATTCCATATACTGCAACATCTGCCACATTGCTCCTCTATCCACTCTATCATATGCCTTTTCTAAATCCATAAATGCAATAAAAACTTCCCTATCTTTATCTAAATACTGTTCACATATATGCTTCAATGTAAACACCTGATCTACACATCCCCCTACCCACTCGAACACTACGCCTATCCCCCTGCTTTTAACATTTCTGTCATGATCCTGTCAGTTCCAGCTGTTTTACCCCCTTTCATCCTATGTAATGCCTCATGCAACTCCCCCACACTCACATCCTGCTCTTCTTCACTCCTGAAAGATGTTATATGTGCCTCCCTGGCCAGTACATGAAATTACTGCCTCCCTCCCTTCATCAACATATTCCCGCCATCTACCCAATACCTCCAGCTCCTCTACTCTGTTTTTAGCTGACAAATCCATTGGTTCCCTAGGCTTTCTTAACTTGTTTATCTCGCTCCAAATTTTTTTCTTATTCTCCGCACAGGTAAACAGCATTTCTAAAATGACACTGCTCCACCCTGCTACTTTACTAGTTGTGGTATACAGTGGACCCCCGGTTAACGATATTTTTTCACTCCAGAAGTATGTTCAGGTGCCAGTACTGACCGAATTTGTTCCCATAAGAAATATTGTGAAGTAGATTAGTCCATTTCAGACCCCCAAACATACACGTACAAATACACTTACATAATTGGTCGCATTCGGAGGTAATCGTTATGCGGGGGTCCACTGTATTTAAAATCAGTAGGATTATATCTGTACAAGTTCAGTAGCTTTTAAAGAAATCTTGAAATAAATTTAAAGTATAGAAAATAAATCTGTAGACTATAAAAGAATGAAAATAAGAGACTGCAAAGCCACCAGGTAAAACTGTTAATTTTGTTGTACTGAATTTTAAAATGTAAATATATAATCCAGTAGGACCCCAACTAATCATGTTATATTTTTATGATGCCTACCCTATGGAACTAATTACAAATGAGCAACTTTTATTTCAATATAAGCATTTAACAACCAAACCAATGCACAATGTATATAGGGACACTGTATTGCCATGATACTCAGTTTCTTCTCATTCTAACCCTGATTATGGGAAGCAGAGGTTATGCAATATATTATACAAACTGTAATGTGCTTAAGTCCATATGCAATATATTGCCAAGTAGATAGATGACAAGGAAGAATGAGCTAAATAAGGAATGAAAATTGAGAGATATGGGAGGAAAGTGCAAAATAGACAGTGAAAGCAGGGCACTGTGGGCACAATAAGGGAACATTGTATCAACGTCCATGACCCCAAACTATATTAGAAACACTGCTGGGACAAGTATAGAAGTCTTCAAGAGGAAAGTGGACAAGTATCATCAGGTGCCAGGCTGTGCTGGATATGTGGGTCAGAGGACCAGCAACAGCCTGGCTGACCAAGCAAGCACCAGACGAGTCAGACTCAACACCTGGCTCTGGGAGTAAAAAAAACACTTTGAAACTCAAAGGTACGATACTAGAAGAGTCAGAAGGGATAACTGATATGTTAAAAAATGGCACAGTTGCAAACAAATCATGGAATAGGTGGGCTTTGAGCCCATGGCAAGCCAGTCTTATAACTAACAGGCCAGTGTATTGTCTACTGGAACACAGTGCACTGGCTTGCATGGATTCATACTTCCCCTGTTCTAGGATTAGTTTGCAATCATGTTAGAATTTCATTAATAATGACAGTGGCTTTGTGGGGACTTGAGCTACAGCCATGCTGGTATGAAATTCATCTCTAAAAACCTGCATTTGCAGTCACAGTGGGGTCCATGCTAACCTTCCTATGGTGAAGGAATATACCTAGTTTGATCAATTGTAATTATTAGGCTATCAAGATACAGTGGCTAACACACTGGACTGCCAGTTTTAGGACTGGCTTATCATGGGTTCAAACTCTACCTGTTCCGTAAGTTGACAAAATGGCCAGTTTTTATATATTTATTTTATACCTCTCTCTCCCCCTTTCTCATTCTCTCTTAATGGTATTTACTTACAGTAACTTCTGCTGTAAAGCAATCGATGACATGCACATGGTCTCCACAAGCAGCATAGACATGAGTGTTGATGGGAAGGAGTGCCGAGACTACTAGTGAGCCGAGGACAATATTATGAGGTTCACGGATTTGCCAGGCACCATCAGCACCTCGCCGGTATACCTGCACACATCCGTTACACAAACCTACATATACCTGCAATATATACATACACACACTTAAGAATCTGTGAACTCTAAAATGTACTGAACTACAGTAAAAACACAGTAAACAAGCCCATCTTGAAATCTCTTAAATTAACTGTTCAAATCTTAGAAGTACTTTCAAGGGTTTTTTCTAAACCCCTAAGCATATAAAAGAAAATTAGACCTTTTATATCATTAAAGAGAAAAGATAAAGGCTAAGAAATTCTTAAGTATTGTAGTTCAAAATGCCTCAGTGCAATCATAATATATAAACAATGGTAGACACTGAAACCTGCACAGTATTTACTAATAATTCGTGTTATCAAAAATTATGCAATATATTGTACTCTAGTAGTAGGGTTACTTTGTCAGTTTTGTTTACTATACTTATTAAAATGTGCTTCATTAATTTTTCTGTTCTATTACCTAAATTTTATTACCTAGCTGTTCTACTGAGAATAATGTATTACCTATTCTTGAGCACTATTCTAATTATAGTCAGACTCCAGCGAACAGGCCTTCCCAATATACTAACTCTTGTTTTTCCAATTCAATTTCCAGTTTTTTTATTTTCTACAAAATTTAGGGATATTTCGCATTATTCTTAGTTTAAACACTGTGCTTGCCGGAAGGTGGTGTACTCAACAACATGGAAGAACACTACTTAGTTTGTAATTAAGGTAAATTTTACATTTTTAATGTACTAGGTATATATACTGTTGATTATTCGTCCAGTACAGCAGTGCTGAAAATATATTTTATCTCAAAAGGGCTCCTGGTTCCAGCAATTCTGATTCAGGTAAAAGGGACATAGATGCAACTAATGTGACATTTCATTGCACATTAGTTGCATCTATCCTTTTTACCTAAAAATTTGTAATTTTACCATTATTACTAAGTCTGATTCAGTGGGGTTAGACTGTAGTGCAGTGTTATTCACTAATTTTTGCAAGAGAGCCACTTCGGTTAAACACATTGATTGAGAGAGCCGCAGCTACTGCAAGTTAGCGTAACTCAACTAAATTAAATAGTACTGAGCTGCTAGTGCAATATAGTAAATGAGAAAAATTAGACATGGTAATATTAGCCTGCATATCTTGTTATTAATAGCAAAATAAAGACCAAACTTACTTAATGCTTCTTTTCTACTGGTCGGGTCTGGGATGGCTGTTCATCACTATTGCGTTTTTGTTTAACCACAAATCGATCCATCATAACGGACACTACTTGACTGCACTTTGGTTTCAAGTAAAACTAGCCCATCGCAGCTAGCTTCCACAAGCAGCAACAGTTAAGTCGTTACTTTCATATATGTTGCCGCAGTCTCAAATATCTGTTGCCTATTTTCAAACACAAATCTCCAAGAGTAACGAAATACATCCAGTCTCCCCCGAAAGCTTGAACTCAACTGATTCAGTGAGACAACCGACGCCTAGAGCTAGACGTGTCCCTGATCAGTTTCCCGTAGTGGACACGTATGATTTCTGTACAACTAGGGTAGGGATGTTAGAATGTTATCTCTTACTATGACTTCATCTTCCATCTCACCTCATGAAAATATGTATCTTACTTGAAAAATTATTTTTCTATATTTTTTTTTATTAATTAATTTACATATTTTTTGAGAGCCATGAATTGAGTCATCGCGAGCCGCACAATGAATACCACTGCTGTAGTGCATTATCCTCTACCAAACTACAAGGGATCTTTGAATCCCTCTCAGAATATTAACCTCATTCTTCAAGCATATTCTTTACATTCACTCTACTCTCTTCATTCCTAACCACTCACCATAGTTACCATCTCAAAACTCTAGTGCCCTTCCCTTTGATCTCTTAAATATATTAAGTTATATACATCATGACAAAGGGACCTCAGAAATATTTTATGTAAAAAAATACATTAAAGGAATCACATCTAAGCAGACGTTTTAACTTGAGATAGGGACTGGGACAATAATATTTTATTTCTAATTCCTATTAATTTTTTTTTCAATAGTGAAATTTACAAATAACGTACTCACAAGGGATGGGTCCAATGTTTAATTGGACCGGTGGTAGTGTTATATCCCTATTTTATGAGTGCATAAAAAAAAAAAAAAAAAAAGAAAATACTAAAATATTGAGAAAAGTATCACATCGTATTTTTTATACTGTTGGGTTGAGGGATTGTGGCAGCACCTGTGCAATGGCCTTAAGACCATTGCAACTCTAACTCAACATTTAAACAAAAATATTTGATGGCTTAGGGGCCATCACAACCCTTCACTGCAACATTACCAAAGGCACGATGTGATAATTTTCTAAATATATATTTTTTTTTTGTTATGGGCCCAGAAAATGGGGGTATAACACTAGTACACCTTAATAAACAATAGACCCATCTCTGGCATAAGGAAGGAGGAATGGTGGGAACTACAGCAAGTAATATCACGTTGCTTCCCTTTCAAAGCCAAAACCTACCTACCTACTTATCTCATTCTCTCCAAGCTTGATATACAATTTATATACTATCTAAACATTTACCTATTTTCCTCACATTGTAACTGATGATACAGGATGATTTGGTCCTACTTGTCTAAGAGGAAGTGGTCATTAACCCTTTGACTCTTTCAGTTGTATATATACGTCTTACGCGCCACTGTTTCTGACGTATTTATACGCGTAAATTAAGCGGGAGAAAACTGGTAGGCCCACATATGAGAGAATGGGTCTGTGTGGTCAGTGTGCACCACATAAAAAAAAATCCTGCAGCACACAGCGCATAATGAGAAAAAAAAAAACTGACCGTTTTTTTGGATTAAAATGCCGACTTGGAGGTGTATTTTCGTATAGTATTTATCGTTGTATTCTCATTTTCATGGTCTCAGGTGATAAAATGGAAAACAAGTTACAGAAATAGAGATGATTTTGATTACTTTCACGATGAAAATGACCTTGAAATTGAGCTCAAAGTAGCGGAAATGTTCGATTTTTACCAATGTTCAAGAGTAAGCAAATCGCACCACACGTCCAATACACTTCAACTGGGGAGTCTAATATTCTTTCACTAGTGTACTGATATTATTTATACCATTTTTTCAATAATGCAGTAGTCTGCATAACAGTAAATTTTGTATTTTTTTGTATGAATAAAAAATCAAAATAGAAAGCAATAGTAATATAAGAGGGGCCTAGAGACATGACTAATGAACAGAGGATATGTTATTTTAGTGCCAAGAATGTCTACATTGTTTATTCTGGACCCTATTTTGAAATTGGGATCTTTTTTAATTTGCGTGAAATTGGCCAAATTGCCAATTTCTGACCACTTTATTGGGCAGTTCAAATCAGTAAATGGGCAATTTCTTGTACTCAACTGATAGAAAAAATGGAGTTCTAAAGAAATAGCTATGAGTTTGGTCAACTGAAAGAATGTAATTGACCAAATACAGGGCTCAAAATCACCGATGCATATATGTTGCCAAGACCGCTAACTTCGGGAGCGTAATTCCGTGCATTTTCGACCAAATTTCGTACTTTTGGTGTCATTACCATCGGGAAAAGATTTTCTATCATTTCATGAGAATTTTTTTTTTTCCAGAAATTTATTGACATAGAATGAGTTTCAGAAAGGGACCTGCGACAGTCAAAGAGTTAAGGGAAAGTTTGGGACATGGGTAGCCTAGAATCTGGTCACTCTGAGCAGGAGGTAGTTGTTTAGCAGTGGGAGGGCCCTATGATTCTCTGTTTTGGTTGCTATTTGAATTTGTATTATGCAAACTTATTAATCAAGAATCTACTGCACTTAGTACATGGTTATATCTCCTTGCATGTTATATATATATGTACTGTATTTTATATGTATTATATATGTACTGTATTTTTTCACCATCATTCACTCCATCACTGTCTTGCCAGAAGGGTGCTTTACACTACAGTTTTTAAACTGCAACATTAACACCCCTCCTTCAGAGTGCAGGCACTGTACTTCCCATCTCCAGGACTCAAGTCCGGCCTGGGAAACCGGCAGGCTGGACTTGAGTCCTGGAGATGGGAAGTACAGTGCCTGCACTCTGAAGGAGGGGTGTTAATGTTGCAGTTTAAAAACTGTAGTGTAAAGCACCCTTCTGGCAAGACAGTGATGGAGTGAATGATGGTGAAAGTTTTTCTTTTTCGGGCCACCCTGCCTTGGTGGGAATCGGCCAGTGTGGTAAAAAAAAAAAAAAAAAAAAAAAAAAAATTAACAAGTCGGCCGTCTCCCACTGAGGCAGGGTGACCCAAAAAGAAAGAAAACCCCCAAAAAGAAAATACTTTTATCTTCCTGAGGTGAAAGTGTTGAATGATGATGAAATTGTGACTTATAAATATAGTACTTTCATACCTTCACGTTATCTTTAATATTTCAGCAACTATCTTCAGTCAGCCCAACAAAGATAATAAAATTTTCTCTCTCCTTCCTAACTTAAACTAGACATTAAGGCAAAAAATCTGAAAAATATCTTGCCTGATCACAGTGGTATTTGATTGTTGTGATAGCAGCTGGTACGGTAGTGGCACCTAATTCCGTCTGCCGTTCCGGATCTAATCCACTGTACACCAATAATCTGTTCATATAAAAACAAGCACAGTTAAATAACTTTACAATAAACATTAAGAATATTTTTTATTTTCAATGACCCAAACGTATCCCACCGAGACAGGTGACCCAAAAATAGAAATGAACGTTTCTCTTTTTAATTTTAGTAATGTATACAGAAGGGGTTACTAGCCCCATTCTCCCAGCATTTTTGTCGCCTCTTACGGCACGAATGGCTCACGGAGGAAGAATTCTGTTCCACTTCCCCCACGTTGAAGAATATAGTTATGGAATATATGTATATCTATATTTTTTCTTAACATATCGGCCATTTCCCACCAAGGCAGGGTGACCCAAAAGAAAGAAAAAACTTTCATCATCATTCAACACTTTTCACTGTCTTTACGAAGGCACTCAGATATACATTGTATATTTCTTGATTAAATATATGCTGCTATGACAATATAAAGTTTTACGCTGTAACACACAGTTCATTTCCTTTCAACAAGAAACCTAATAAAGTACAACCATTCACTGTCAGTCACTCTAGAAGAGTGAAGGCTTCACAGTCCCATGTTGACCCAACATGGATAAAGGCAGTGAAGATGCAGCATTTTTAAGAAAAATAAGTCATAATAATACTGGCTGGATCAATTCACAAATAACCCACACTTAGGAAAAGAAACTTTATATGATATTTCAGTCTATTAAAAAAAAAATCAGCCTACAAAACTTGCTCATAATTAATAAAATTTTGTATTTGACATTGTCTGATATTTCCCTATGCTGGCAGCAGCACTGTATGACCCTTTTGGGTTTAGCACCTAATGATGATGATAATAATAATATGTAAAGTAAAAGGACACAAGTGCAACTAATGTGACATTTTATTGTGGCAACGTTTTGCTCTCCAGGAGTTTTGTCAAGCCGGATAAAGCTCCTGGAGAGCAAAACGTTGCCACAATAAAATGTCACATTAGTTGCACTTGTGTCCTTTTACTTTACATATTGTCGGTAATTCTACCAACATTATTACAATAATAATAATAATAATATAATCCTATGTTAGTAGGTTACAGTACAGACCTTTTCCTTATAATTCTTGGGTTCTTTCAGATTCTGGATTGTATTTTATAACTTTTTTGGTGGCAAAAGAATGTTTAAGGAGCAATTTACATTTACTTACAGGCTCCATACTGTACTGGGTATACATGAATGACCTACAAGGCAAGAGAAAGCACTGTCATTGTTTGTGGATGATGAAAACTACACAATACAAACAGAAAATGAAGTAGTAAAATAAAAAATAGTCTCAACGCAGTGACTGGAACAATTCACACTACAGTGGACTCTCGGCTAACACCTGCATCGGATAACGCCAAAATTGGATAACGCCTCGCTTTGGCGTAAAATATTGGCTCGGATAACACCTAAAAACTCGGTGAGGAACTTTCGTCCCGAACGTGTCCCTATGGCGGCCTGACCGAGCCCGGCCACTCACCTCATGTACCAGCCAGTGTGCCACTGTTTACAAGCCACTGAGGACGATTCCACGCATACATGCGATATATTTTGTATTATTCCATTGTTTTTAGTGCTTGTAACTGCTAATAAGCCACCATGGGCCCAAAGAAAGCTTCTGGTGCCAACCCTGTGATAAAAAGGGTGAGGTGTATTATCGAATTAAAACAGGAGATAATAGAAAAGTACGAGAGTGGAGTGAGTATCTTGGAGTTGGAAAAGTTGTATAACAAACCCCATTCAACCATCGTTACTATCTTGTGCAACAAAAAGGCAATCAAGGAAGGTGGTGTTGCAAAAGGTGCAAGTGTGCTTACAAAACAGAGATCGCAAATACGTGAAGATGTGGAGAGACTGTTGTTGGTGTGAATAAACAAGAAACAATTGTCAGGAGATAGTATTTCTCAGTCAATAATATGTGAAAAGGCAAGGCAGCTGCATGAGAATCTCATTAAGAAAATGCCTCCAAATAGTGCTGTTGTTGATGAATTTAAGGCCAGTAAAGGCTGGTTTGAGAGATTTAAAAATTGTAGTGGCATACACAGTGTGATAAGGCATGGTGAGGCTGCTAGTTCTGACAAAAAAGCGGCTGAAAAATATGTGCAGGACTTTAAGGGGCACATAGACACTGAAAAATTAAAACCCCAACAAGTGTTTAATTGTGATGAAACAGGCCTGTTTTAGAAGAAAATGCCAAAGAGGACCTACATTACTCAGGAGGAAAAGGCACTCCCAGGACACAAGCCTATGAAAGACAGGGTAACTCTAATGTTGTGTAGTAATGCTAGTGGGGATTGCAAAGTGAAGTCTTTACTCGTGTATCACTCTAAAACTCCTAGTGTGTCAAGAAAAACAATATTGTCAAGACTAAATTGTGTGTGATGTGGAGAGCAAACAGTAAGGCATGGGTCACTAGAGACATGTTTATTGACTGGTTCTACGACATGTTTGGCCCCACTGTGAAACAGTACCTCCTGGAAAATAAATTCACTCAAGTGCCTCCTGGTAATGGACAATGCTCCTGCTCATCCTCACAACTTGCAAGAGCAAATTGCGGGGGAGCTGAGCTCCACCAAAGTGAAGCTTTTGCCTCCTAATACTACTCCTCTCCTCCAGCCCATGGACCAGCAGGTCATTTCAAATTTCAAAAAACTGTACACCAAAGCAGTGTTTCAAAAGTGCTTTGAAGTGACCTCAGACACTGAACTGACCCTAAGAGAGTTCTGGAAGGATCAATTTAGTATCCTCACATGCATAAACCTTATAGGTAAGGCTTGGGAGGGAGTGACTTGCAGGATTTTGAACTCTGCTTGGAGAAAATTGTATCCACAATGTGTACAAGAGAGGGATTTTGAAGGGTTTGGGGCTGACCCTAAGGAGCCTATGCCAGTTGTGGAATCTATTGTGGTATTGGGAAGTCCATGGAGTTGGAGGTTAGTGGCGAGGATGTGGAAGCGTTGGTGGAGGACGAAGATGAAGAGCTAATCATTACAGAGCTGCAAGAGCTTCAGGTGCAAAAGCAACAGACCAAAGCTCAGGGATTTCCTTCTGAGGAGGAGAGAGATGGAGGAAATTGCCTTCATCAAAGATTAATTAAGGAAATGTGTACAATGTTCACAAAGCTGCAAGCATTTATGGATGAATATTATCCTGACACAGCTGTTGCAAGCCGTATTGGCAACTTGTACAATGACACTCTTGTGGCCTATTTTAGGGAAATCTTAAAGGGACGCGAGAAACAGAGCTCTCTGGACAGATATTTTGCGCGACAAGGGTCCAGTGACTCTCAAGCTGGTCCTAGTGGCATTAAAAAACAAAGAAAGGAGGTAATCCCAGAAAAGGACTTGTTACCTGAAGTCTTCATGGAAGGGGATTCCCCTTCCAAACAATAAAACACCTCATCCTCTGCCCTCCTGCCGTCTCATCACTCATCAACAAGTCCACAATAAGGGTAAGTGTGATGTTATTATTGTTTTATGTGCATGTATCATTGTTTTCTGTGTAGGGAAATTATTTCATGTAAAAAAAATTATTTCGTTTAATACTTTTGGGTGTCTGGAACGGATTAATTGGATTTCCATTATTTCTTATGGGGAAACTTAATTCAGTTAAAGGCTAAATCGGTTAAAGCCTAGCTCTCTGGAACGGATTAAAGGCGTTAGCCGAGGGTCCACTGTAACCCACAACTTGAAGCAAAAGATCTTCATTAATATGGCATTTCACCTATATAAAGCCTTGTGTAGTTTAAATCTCATACTTGTAAGTCTCCTTTTGCTGTACTTGTTTTACCATGATACAACAAGAGCTGAGTCCATAGAGTACATGGATTCAAAAGATAAATATGAAAGAACTAAATACAACTAGTTCATCAAAATTTGATAGGCCAAACAGCTTGAATTTAATGCTTCAAACTCTGCTAGGTAAACAAACACACAAACTGTAATGTACATGAATACACACAAAAGTTTTTCTTTACTGACAATAGTAAAACCAGGGTATGGTTTACAAGAGGTAGAAATGGAAATATTATGAACTACTGCATATGAGACTAAATACTGAAGATGGGATGCCATGAGTTTAGCTCTGCTCCAATAGACAAATAGATAATACAATTTGTAACTACCCAGTGGTATAAGAGAAATACCATGCTGAAATCCATGGCTTACAATACACACCTGTGGGAGTGTGTGCCCATCCAAACAGTGTGAGCTCGCAAGGAGGGCTCTTCTGTGGTGGTGATACCAGGGACATGATGCAGTGATGTTACACAAACTTCAACCATGTCTACACGAACAACCTCCCTTAAGCCAACCTTCAAAACAAAGAGCATTCATGTAAGCAATAAGTTGAATTAAATCATTCATTAAATTATAATTATTCTATAGTTATCTTTTAAGAAATGGTTACCTGTTGCATGAGGTAGATGGTGATGTGTGAAGAGACACCATCAGTGGAACACAGCCAGAGATATGTGTGATGTCGACCAGTTCCTGACAACCTGCTTGGCCGCGATAGAGTTACAGTGTAGCAGCACCCACATTTAACCTGGATAAAGATTTCATTGTTACTTTATAGTGTATAAAATATAAAAGTATCTCAAAGACCATCTAAATACAAAAGAAAATTCATGAAACTTGGCTATGAGCTATTTTAGAGTTGCAGTTAAAAATGTCAAAATATAGGTTACTAGAATAAACCATGTACCTATACTGTGCTTAAGAATTGTATGGGTGATATTTGTCCAGATAGTATTTGATGGGTTTAACCCCTTGACTGTCGCAACTCCAAATCCTGAGGTATCTCCTGGTGTCAAAAAAAAAAAAAAAAAAAAAAAAAAAAAAAAAAAAAAAAAAAAACTTATGAAATGATAGAGAATCTTTTCCCGATGGTAATGACACCAAAAAAACGAAATTTGATGGAAAAATGACGGAATTACGCTCTCACAAAGTTAGCGACCTTGGCGATATTTACGAATTGGTGATTTCGCCCACTTTGAGCCCTATTTTCGGCTAATTCCATTGTTCCAGTCGACCAAACTCATACCTATTTCTTTAGAATTCCATTTTTTCTATCGATTGAATACAAGAAACTGCCCATTTACCGATTTCAACTACCCAATAACATGGTCAGAAATTTGCTATTTGGCCAATTTCACGAAAATTAAAAAAATGACAATTTAAAAATAGGGTCCAGAATGAACAATGCAGACATTCCTGGCTATAAAATAACATTTTCTTTGTTCATCAGTCACGTCTCCAGGCATCTCTGATATTATTCTTGCTTTCTATTTTGAATTTTTATTCAAAAAAAAAAAAAAAATAGATTTACTGTTATGCAGACTACTGCAATATTATAATAATTTTATAAATTATGTCAATCCATTCATGACTGCATATCAGAATGGCTAGTTGGACATTTATTGGATAATGACATCATTTGTTTACTTTTGAACATTGGCAAAAATCAAACATTTTCCCTACTTTGAGCTCCATTTCAAATTCTTTTCATAGTAAAACCAATCAAAATCACCTCCATTTCTATATTTTCTATGTTTTCCACTCTATCAAATGAGACCAAGAAAACGAGAATACACCCATAAATACTACACAAAAATAGACCACAAAGTCGGCATATTAATAAACCCTTAAACTGTCCAAACGTAGATCTACGTTTTTTCAACATTTGAAAGCATGTAAAAAAAGTAGATCTTCTTTTCTTTTTTTACATTTGAAAAAGTGTAAAAAAACTTTGATCTACGTTTTTTTTTTTTTTTATATTTGAAAATATGTAAAAAAAAACATAGATCTACTTTTGGAGCACTACGCATGTGAACGTAGATCTGCTTGGACAGTTTAAGGGTTAAAAACGGTCTGAGTATTTTTTCTCATTATGCACTGTTTGCTGCAGGATTTTTTTTATATGGTACGCACTGACCACACAGACCCATTCTCTCACATGTGGGCCTACCAGCTTTCTCCTGCTTGATTTGAAGCCGCTAGAATTTGAGTACATATACGTCAAACAAGGTGGCTCGTAAGACGTATATATACGACCGAAACGGTCAAAGGGTTAATATCTCGGGACACTATCCACCAGGAAGCCTAGTCTGGAACTGAGCCACAGGGGTTAACTCTTGAAAACATCCTTTTGGTATCCATACTCTTATGTAGATGATAGGATTGCAGAGTGGACATAAGTGAAGTACAAGAAACTACAGAGTTTATTAATAATAAATATCCATTTCTGATGCCAGACTTCTACGAGAAATCTCCTTCATTGTAAGATATAACCTTATGTAGATTTTTACTACCTAGATTATGTTCTTAAGCACTTATAAACTTTACTCAACCAGAAATTTTATTAATAATATAACTGTACATTATTACTAGTATTTCAAATTATTTAATATACAATACTGTAAGTCTTTAGCTAATTTACAAATACATCTACCATACACTGGATCATGATCCTCTTGCAGTAAAATCAAATCACATTATAACAAGATATTGGAGAGGGTACAACCTCTAGCTCTTATTCTTTCTTCTTAACTTTTGACTGATTGACATGGACTAGTTTGTTATATCCATTTTTCAACCCCTGTCAAGAGTCCTCTTCTGATGTTAATAGTCAATTCATTTCACTTCTTTCCACTATCATGCTGAAGGAATGATTTCTAATATAACTGTAGCTCATTTAGCTATATAACTTTTAACCACATCCCCCCTAGTTACTGTTTCACTGCTTCTAAAGAGTTTATCTTGATCTACCCTAAACTTGCCTTCACTGACAAAAGGACTAGCTCACACAGCCTTCACAGTTCATTTCCCTCAGTTCAGGTAGTAGTTTGAATGACCTCTACTGAACTTTCTCCAGCTTTCCTTTGTGTCTTACTAGACAAGGATTCTGCATTACTCCATGGGAAAGTGGAATAGAATTCTTCCTTCATAAGCCATTCGTGTCATAGGAGGCAACTAAAATGCTGGGAGTAAGGGGACAGTAACCTCTTCTTCTGTATACATTACTAAATTTAAAAAGAGAAACTTTCGTTTTTCTTTTTAGGTCACCCTGCCTTGGTGGGATATGGCCAGTTTGTTGGAAAAAAATAAAAAGAATCCTGAATTAGTCAAGAATGAATCACAGGTATGAGGTAGTTTGTTTTGAACAAGACAGTATTTAGGTTCCTGAATGCAACTTCAATATTCCAAGCTTTGTCTGTTTTGCCAATGTTATTCTGTTTTAGGATACAGGTTTGAGGCCATGGTTATTTCTATCTCATTTTGGTTTTTCTATTTCCTCCGGCATGGTGCTCTGTCTTTCCTATTGTTTCCCAAACTCCTGCCTTCATAACTCTGCTTTAATTATGAACTTACCTCAGTGTCATGAAGAGAGGAAAAAACTGGAAGTGTCTTGACAAATAGAGGCATTTTAGTCGAGGGTCGCTTCTCTTGTTCGGGTACATCCCATGCAGGAGAGTTAGAGATATCAAGAGCCAACTGAGCTAATCGAAGTTCTGGTGAAAATAACAAAATCACTATTTTATTGAATGCTGGAGATTAAAATTTGATTTCTTCCTATTTTTTATGAATTTGTAGAGATTATTTTTCTTGATCTGATATGTCTCATTTGTAAGGGAAATTACTTTTCTTGTATTAAGTATTGTTTATGCACTGTGAACACTTACCCACAATCCAATCCTTCTTGATAACAGGATTATTCGTCTGGAAAGTGAAGGTCTCTTTTTCCCGACCTTCTTTGTTTTTCACTGTGAACTGCAAGCAGCAAGCATCCACCCATGCCATCTGCTCATCTCTGATGTGTAAAGCTCTCTGGATGCTGCTGGACACTTGCTGCAGGTGCTCTGCAGTCAATCCCTACCAAAGGATAAAGTCTTTTAATTATATACAGTCTATATCTGACTCAAAATCGTTCTCTGATTCATAAAAATCATGAAAACTTTTTTGCATGACAGTAACAAAGACTATTTTAATACAGAATACACAGTTATTTGTAATAGCAGACTAATAATTATAGAGTTATGTTCCAACTTTACTGGTGAGTTACTTTGAAAACTCTTCATACCAGAGATGACTATGGTATACATTGCACATTAATTTCTCAGATTTAAATTATCATTATTATTACTATTACTATTATTACTTTTATTAGAAATTTCCCATATGGAAGTGAGTGGTTAACCACTACCCTCTAATGACTCACCAAAACTATGGCAGGAAATAAAAAAAAAAATCTTTGCTGCTCTGCTCTGCATCAAGGGGGCAGTGACCTGGAACAGTCTACAGGTATTCTTGCTAGTTTCCTAACACAGAAAAAAGTGACCAAAACAAGAAACCACACACACACCCTCATTCTTTCTATAATGTTTTTGCAAGAAGTGTATGGACATCACAATTCAATAACACTGCAAGCTACAACATCCCCTGCCATTTTTCAAGTGCAGGCAATAAACTTCCCACCTTTATAATTCATTTCCAGCTGACTGATTCCCGTGACTCCCATTATAAATGTTGCCTTTCTCGCACTCCACCAGCACATCATACACCAGAAACTGCTTGCTTCCACTTGCTCTTAATTCAACACGCACACACATGCCTGCTGGGTGCTCAAGCCTACATCAAAGCCATTTTCCTGAACATCTCCTCACCTTCTATTCAAATCAGATTTATAAACCCTCTGGGTCAACCAGCCTTACTCCACCTTTTCTAAATGACCAAGCCAGCTCAGCATCCACTCCTCAACTCTTATGAATTGCATCTTTCAGAGCACCACATTAAATTTCTACACTCCTTATTCTTTGTATAATATGCACACCAAACATTGCTCTCAATTATTATATTGAAGGGGAAGTGCTAAAATCATAGGGGTTATACAGCACCTGGGGAATCTCAGGCAATCAGGACAGACATAAAGAGACAGGGGACAAGCATAAATCCTTGAATCAAGAGCCCCTCATTTGCATCAAGGAACCCCTCAAGAGAAAACATTACTATCAAACAAATGACATAATCAATACTTCAAACCTTCTTCTCACTGCAATCTTTAAAGACCATGCCACACACCTATATAAAAATTATTTTATTATTAACACATCGGCAGTTTCCCACCAAGGCAGGGTTGCCTGAAAAAAACAACTTGCATCATTCACTCCATCACTGTCTTGCCAGAGGCATTCCTACACTACAGTTATAAAACTGCAACATTATCACCCCTCCTTCAGAGTGGAGACACTGTACTTCCCACCTTCAGGAATCAAGTCCGGCCTGCCAGTTTCCCTGAATCCCTTCATAAATGTTACCTTGCTTACACTCCAACAGCACTTCAAGTCCTAAAAACCATTTGCCTCCATTTGCTCCTGTCTAACACGCTCACGCATGCTTGCTGGAAGTCCCAGCCCCTCGCACACAAAACCTCCTGTACCCCGCTCCCTCCAACCTTTCCTAGGCTGACCCCTGCCCTGCCTTCTCTCCACTACAGATTTGTATACTCTCGAAGTCATTCCATTTCATTCCATCCTCTCTACACGTCCAAACCATCTCAGTAACCCCTCCTCAGCCCTCTGGATAATAGTCTTGATAATTCCACACCTCCTAATCTCCAAACTATGGATTCTCTGCATTATATTCACACCACACATTGCCCTCAGACATGACATCTCCACTGCCCCCAGCCTTCTCCTTGTTGCAACACTCACAACCCATGCCTCACACCATACAAGAGCATTGGTATAACTATACTCTCATAAATTCCCCTCTTTGCTTTCATGGATAAAGTTCTTTGTATCCACAGACTCCTTAGTACACCACTCACCTTTTTCTCCTCGTCAATTCTATGATTCACCTCATCCTTCATAGACCTATCTGTTGACACGTCCACTCCCAAATATCTGAACACATTCACCTCCTCCATACTCCCTCCCTCCAATCTGATATCCAATCTTCCATTACCTAATTTTTTTGTTATCCTCATCACCTTACTCTTTCCTGTATTCACTTTTAACTTCCTTCTTTTACATACCCTACCAAACTCATCTACCAATCTCTGCAACTTCTCATCAGAATCTCTCAAAGGCACAGTGTCATCAGCAAAGAGCAACTGTGACAACTCCCACTTTGTGTTAGATCCTTTATCTTTTAACCCCACAACTCTTGCTAACACTCAAGCATTCGCTTCTCTTACTACTCCATCTAAATATATTGAACAACCATGGTGATATCACACATCCCTGTCTAAGGCCTACTTTTACTGGGAAATAATTCCCCTCTTGCCTAAGTACTCTAACCTGAGCCTCACTATCCTTGTAAAAACTCTTCACTGCCTTCAATAACCTACCTCCTATTCCATACATTTGCAACATCTGCCACATTGCTTCCCCTATCCACCCTATCATATTCCTTTTCCAAATCCATAAATGCCACAAAAACCTCTTTATCCTTATCCAAATATTGTTCACCTATGTGTTTCACTGCAAACATTTGGCCTACACACCCCCTACCTTTTCTAAAGCCTTCTTGTTCATCTGCTATCCTGCTCTCTGTCTTACTCATAATTCTATCAATAATAATTCTACCATACACTTTACCAGGTATACTCAACAGACTTATTCCCCTACAATTTTTACTCTCTTTTTTGTCCCCTTTGCCTTTATACAAAGTAATTATGCATGCTCTCTGCCAATCTCTAGGTACCAATATACATACTCTGTTGTATTTCCGTATTTTGTCTACATTTATAACCTCTTGTAATGTGCAGATGCCTCAGACCTTCACCTATCTTTATTTTGCCTCGTCTATTCTATCTTTCCAATACCAAACTGCCAGGACATCCTTTCCCAAATGCCTAAATAATATACTAAATGCAATATTGCGAACTGTAATTATAATGAAATAGTAAGTCAATGACAACATATTAAAAGTGGTAGATGATTTTAATATGCTGACAGAAGTCACAAGCTACAAAAAAAAAAAAAAAAAAAAAAAAAATGCTGAAAAACAATAATAAAAAAGTCAACTCCCGAGTGGAAAAAAAATCAAAACAATTACATTAGGAGAATCTCCACGACTAC